AAAAAACAGACAGAAGATATTAGAGACACCAATCAAGCAGAACACAGCAAACTCCGAGACCAATAAACACAGACCAAGACTCCCAACCAATCAGGATGAAGAAAAAACCATTCTGGCACAGCAATAGGCTGCCCCAAATTTAAATCTGAAACCACTGTAAAAGTCTGACCCACAGACGGACACAATACAGAAGCCTGATGATGGCAGATGAGATTCTGCTGAAACGTTGCTACAACTTTAAAAGAACAACTACAATGACGTGGGAAAATACCCGAACCAAGCCGAATACCATATATATATATATATGTATATGTATATGTATATGTATATGTATATGTATATGTATGTATGTATGTCATTATAGTTGTACTTTTAAAGTTGTCAGCAGTTTGGCAGTTTGATTCTCACCAGGCTCGAGGTTAACTCAGCCTTCCATCCTTCCGAGGTGGGTAAAATGAGAACCCAGATTGTTGGGGGCAATAGGCTGACTCTGTAAACCGCTTAGAGAGGGCTGGAAAGCCCTGTAAAGAGGTACATAAGTTCTATTGCTATTTTTATTTTTTTAAAAAGGTGTTAAGAAGAAACTTGTTCAGTAAATAATAACATTTGTTCTCTCTCGTTTTTATTAAGATTATGATCAACTGCTTCTTTCATTTCTTCTATTAAGTTTATAAGGCAACAAGACCTTGTTCTCTGTTGCCATCCAATGAAACCATAGAGGTAGTATGTAGAGCTGGGGTGGGCAGTATTCCCAGGGGGCCACATGAGAAACTGGGACTGTCTTAAGAGGGTCAAATCAATAGCTCCTGGCTGTGCTCTGGCCACTTGCCTGCAAATCCATGTTTGACCAAGGTCACACTGGGTGGCCAAGCCCTGATCCCTTCATGCGATGCTGTTGCCTCCTGAGGCTGCTCCAGGCAAGGGGCAGTTGGTTAGATTTAAATATTTTCTTGACCTAGGACAGAGGTCTCCAAACTTGGTAACATTAAGACTTGTGGACTTCCACAAGTCTTAAAGTTGCCAAGTTTGGGGACCCCTGACCTAGGAAGTTCCTTCCTTCCAATTCTTTGTAGATCTATGTTTCCCTTTTCTTTCTTCCACTTCCGCCACTTCTTTGACTTTGCTAAAGAATTCATTTCCAACTTAGGTCTCCCACAATGGCAGGAGGCTTGTTCGCAATGGACAGACAATATTTCAATGCGCTTGGACAGTATGACAGCGGCATGGACATCTGGGGAGGGGAAAATCTGGAAATATCATTTCGGGTATGTGATTTGGGATTTACTAGTGGGCATTCTTTTCCATTCTTGGATGATTGATGCAGGCCACTTTCAGAATCGGGAGGGGTTGGCGCATTATTGTTAGGCGATCACTTTCTGCAGCACTGAAGACAACAGTAGTGTTAATTTTGCTTATTTTAAATAGCTAGAAAGGATTCTGGCAAGATGAAGTTAGCTTCCAAAAAAGAAAAACCCTCCAAAATGGTAAACAGTAATTCTAGAGTAGTAGTTTCTCTGAGATAATTTTAGGTAAAACATCCATTGCAACACACACACAAAAATTATCTAGTATACATGTAATTATTGTGAGAGTAATTGAAATATTATTTAGTTAAAAGCAGGAAGGACTGTTTCTCTTGCTATCTAACTATCTAGTTAGCTACAATCTGTTTTATGTATAAAAGATAACATATAAATATATATTATATATAATAGTTATAAAGAACTGAGAGGCATATGGTTTGTGGGGCTTTTGTTACAGAAAGACAGGGCTTGAATTTAGGCAACTGACATTCTTCTGGAGTGAAAACAATTTGATGATGAATTCAGAAAACTTTTAATTGTTTGCAGTGTTCTCAGAGATGTTGTGGATTGTGCTATCCAGTAAAATTAAGGTGAAAAATAATTTGTAAAATAGCTATATAAAGCCTATTTTTAAATAAAATAACTTCAATTTGTGGGAAATAAGCAGATGGTGGATTGCATGCTATTCTAAAAAGAGATCCTCTTGGTAATTTATTGTTGTATATTAAATTTACATGCCCCCATCTCATGGTTTGGGGCATCTTTGAACAGCTTACAACGTAATAAAACATGTATAGATATAATAACAATTAATAGAAAAAGAGATTAAAATTACAAAAGATTGAAACAAACTAAAAACCATACGAGTGGTGCAGAGTAGCGGTGGTGTCTTCTCTTGGTACACAAACCACCTCCAGCCAGTGGCTTCTCTTTCAGGACGCCATGCCAGCCGGCATAACCAGGTTTTAAGGCTTTTCCTGAAGGCTGAAACGTGTGTGTGTGTGTGTGTGATAACTTGCCTCCTGTGGGTAGATGTTCCTTGGCTGATGGGGTCCACAGTAGGCCCTTCTGCCAGCATGAGTGGGGCAGGCTAACCAGGGGTGGGCTTCAAAAATTTTAGCAAAAGGTTCTCTGCTATGGTTGCAGGGTGGGCATGACCATGGTGGCTTGGCCTAGTCGGCGTCCTGTACCACCATGGCAGGGGAGGCGTTTTTGCACTCTCAGGGCTCTGGAGGCTTTCCGGAGGCCCATTTCTGGCCTTCCCAAACTTCCAGAAGGCCCATTTTTCGCCCCTCCCTGAGCCTCTGTGTGTGCCCTGCACTTAACCTGCATCCAAAACGGGCTGTGTGGGGACTCCTGGGAGGAGAGAGGAGGGGTGGGTGGGGCCAGCCAGGAGTGGGATTTGGGTTTTTTTCCAAACTATCCAGAATCCTAACTAGGGGCTCTCCCGAACCCCTGCGAACCCCCAGCAGCCCAAGCCCTGAGCCTAACCCTGTTGGGGAAGGAAAAGCTCCTCCGATACCTTGGACCGATGCCATAAAGGGCTTTCACAATACAGGTAGTCCTCAACCTAACGACCATAACTGAGCCCAAGATTTCTGTCGTTAAATGAGACATTTATTAAGTGACTTTTGCCCCGTTTTACAACCTTTTTTTTGTCTCAAATGAATCACTGCAGTTGGTAACTTAGCAACCCGGTTGTTAAGTGAATCTGGTTTCTCCATTGACTTTGTCGGAAGGTTGCAAAAGGGGATCCCATGATGGTTGTAAGTATGAACCAGTTGCCAAGCGGCCAAATTATGATCATGTGACCATGGGGATGCCGCAAAGGTCGTAACTGTGATAAATGGCCATAAATCAGTGCTGTTCTAACTTTGAACAGTCACTTAATGACCTGTTGTAAGTCGAGGACTACCTGTATTATAAAACTCCCCGCTTTCATTCTGTGTCACTGGAGGAGCTTTGAAGACAGTTGTCATCCTTAATGAGGTCATTAATAAGACCCGGGTGTAACAGTTATGCAAATAAGCAGACCTTTTCAGAAACTTAGATCTTGTGCCTAATATCACCTGCCTTCAGTACAAATATTTTACTAAGCCCTTCTATTCCCGAACAGATTTGGATGTGTGGAGGCAAACTTCTCATCCTCCCTTGCTCCAGAGTAGGGCACATCTTCCGTAAAAGGCGCCCCTATGGGTCTCCAGGTGGGCAGGACACAATGGCACACAACTCTCTACGCCTTGCGCATGTGTGGATGGATGAATACAAGGCAAGTCTGCCACTACTAGGTATTACTGGGCGGGGCGGGGCGGGGCGGGTGGGTGGGAGAAGGAATATACCTCAGTGCACCTGTGAAGGGGGCAAAAGAAGGACCCAGGAATTGTTCCCACCTTCCTGGAAAAAAAAAGATCTATTGATTTTATGGCTGTTGGTGGAAATAAGCATTGCTGCATCTTCCATTTCCAGGGCATTAGTGATTCTGATTATTAGACTGTGCCTGGAAATTCGGATGCCTGTCATATGGGAAGGGAAGAGAGGCATAAATGTTGCAAACACAACGTAAAAACTTTAATTCTTTTCAGTAGTATTTTGTAATTTTTAGCTGGGGAAAGAATTTGAATGTATAGCTCAGAGAAATCAGTCTCCCCACCTCCCAACCTAATGCTGTGGTTACCAGTAGTCCTTGTTTAATGATCACTCATTCAGCAACCGTTTGAAGTTACAACAAGGCTGAATGAGGAGACTTACAACCGATCCTCTTATTTGTGACCACTTTAGCCTCATACAGTCACGACTCAGGCGCTTGGCCAACTGTTTGCAATTACAGTATTTGCGGCGTCCTGCAACCACACACAATTGGCATTTGTGACCTTCCCTGCTGGTCAGTGAAAAGCCAGAGAAGAGTGCAAAGGATAACACCAAAGACTATGCAGGATTTGCTTAACAGCCACAATCAGAACTGCTGCATAATTTGCCGTAGTCGCATGACATCAAATTTCCTACAACCACATTGCTTAGCAACAGAGTTATCAGTCTGCAAATTGCTGTCATTCAGTGAGGATTGCCTGTTCTTAGACTTAGTTCCGCATAACAGCGATACCAATGATTCTCTTTTGTGATCTTTTCAAACAGGAACAGTATTTTGCCTTACGTCCAGAGCTGCGAACAAGGAACTATGGGAATATTACTGACCGTGTGGAATTAAGAAAAAAATTGAACTGCAAATCATTTAAATGGTATTTAGACAATGTGTATCCAGAGATGCAAATCTCTGGGCCCAATGCCAAGGTACAACTTCCGGTCTTTTTCAACAAAGGACAGAAAAGACCAAAAATATTGCAACAAGGAAGGGTAAGAGGCTGTTCTTCAGATTTGCTTAAATCCAAGCTCTTAAAAAAAACTAGACGTGGAAATTTTGAAGTGGTGTTTGAAGGGAAAGGAAGTATATTAGTACAACACAGCAATTTAGCTTTAAAATAAGTAATACACTGCAGTAATTGGAATAAAGATGTCTGACTGTCATTTGGTTTCTGTTTGGGCAAACAGTGCTTAATCTTTCTGAATGTCTTCTACAGCCGGTGCTAAAAGCTGTGATGAAAAGGGCTCACATCATAACTGAATGGTCAGTGCTGATCAGTTTTTTTAAATCTAATTTTTGATAAGCACGCTTGCCATGTGATTTCCTTTATCAGCAAGGGCTGCACAGCCTGGGGAGGTAAATAGCTTGTCTAACATTTTCTTCCTTTTGGATCAATCTGTAGTTTGATTTAACTAGAGCGCTGCCCTACTTACTGAGGTAAAAGTACACATTCAGCTTTTGTTCTGGTAGCTTTCACTCCTCGGGCCTGCAGCTTCTCTTAGCTGTACATACAAAGGAGCTACGTAGAAATCAGCAGAAATCAAAGTGATTTATTTTGGTCGCGGCACCTGTGCTCTAAAAGGGATGACTTTTTGATCTAAATTCTAGGCAGAGTACATTATTATAAAGTCCAGGAGCCTCCATCTTTTTTAAAAAAAATGTCCATTCTTAGTTACAGTGGTGGATTCCCAAAAATCACAGCCCTTCTTGTTTTCTTGTCTACTATCCATATTTAGAAGCAGAGTTTCAAAATATACTAGTTTAACCGCTATGACCACTATACTTTCAATATAAAGTCCTTCTACAGAAATTGGTTTCTAGCACTGAATTTTTTTAAAAAAGTGTAGTCATTGTGCCAGTTAGTTTTCTATTCATATACCTTTTGTTTTAAAGCTGCCAAGTAGTAATATTTCTCTCTAATTACACTGTCTCCACTCCTAGCAGTAATGTTTTTCATGACATAAGTAACGCAGTTGTAGCCATACAAGTGATCAGATGGCTTTTTAAGGAGAGATCTTATGCCCCTGCATATCATGCATCTTTTTTGCCAAGTTGATTCTTGGCCCATCAGGATGGTGGCAAATATTAATGATAGAATGAGACAAATATTTCATTTGTGAAATACCCCAGTAAAATGAAGCTGAAGATGTTGGGTGATAATTTATACTTGTAAAAATCCTTCTCCTCCTTCCTTGTTTATTCCTCACTCTTTTGTTTCTTAGAGAATATAACAGGAATGTTAAGGAAGGGTGGTTGGAAATTTCTCCTCTGCTCACATCGGTTGTTCTCTCCTCAGTGTGTTTGTGTTCCTTTTCCTTGCAGTTGCATCACCTTCACACTAATAAATGTCTAGCAGCGCAAAGCCACCCGAGCCAAAAAGGAGGACTTGTGGTGGTCAGAGAGTGTGACTACAGTAATAAAAATCAGGCAAGTTCCCTTTATTGCTTTGCTAATTTTGATCTCGCTGACACGTCTGACATGTGAGGGCTGCCTTACTTTAGTCCATCGTCGTCCGACTTTTTTGCTTGCCTAGGCCTCACTGAGTGAAGAGGAGTTGGGCCGCATATAAAATATATAATATAGTTAATATACATAAACAGTGAACTTCCTTCGTTTTTTAAAATATTTTTATTATCTTGTGGCTACTAGCTGCCCAGGGGTCCATGTGGTCTACAGGCCATGGGTTGAGCTTGCCGGCTTCAACCATTCCCAGCAGAACAGAGGATACGCCCTCAGATGCCATGGTCATTATTTGTTCAGTGAATTTTTATATTTGACATATTTATCTGTCTATGTAATTTTTAAAGATGGTTCCAAATACAACTAGTCCTCCACTTAATGGCCATAATTGGGACAAGAATTTCCATCACTGAGCAGGGCCGTTACTGGGTAGGTTGCCCCCGATTTTGTGTCATTTTTTGCTACGGTTGTTAAAGCAGTCACTACTGTTAAGTGAATCATGCAGTCGTTAAGCAAATTTGATTTCCCCCATTGGCTTTGCTTGTAGGAATTTGGCTAGGAAGATCGCAAATTGGGATTACATGATCCTCATCTTACGTAGCCATTCATTTAGTGACTCTTCAGGTTTACACTGGCACTGAAAAAAATGACTTGCGGCTGGTTTTCACGCTTACCATTGTAGCATCCCCATGGTCACACATGATCCAAATGCAGATGCTTGGCAACTGGCGTGTATTTAGGGCAGTTTTACTGTCCCTGGGCAGGTCAGGTAATCACAGTTTGTAACCTTCCCAACCAGCTTCTGACAAGCAGAGTCAATGAAGTGAACCAGATTCCCTTAATGACTGCGTGATTCACTTAACCAAAGCGATTGGCTTAACACCCAAGGCAAAATATGTAATAAAATCGGGCATGGCTCACTTAACAACTGCCTTGCTTAGCAGTGGAAATTACTGTCCCAATTAGGTCTGTAAGTTGAGGACATGCCAGTTGCCAAGCAGCCAATTTTGTTTTCATCACATGCCTGGGGGTGCTGCAATTAATGCAAGTATGAGAGTAAGTTTAAGTCAGTTTTTCCAGTGCTGTTGTAACTTTGAACAGTTGCACAATGAATGGCCATAAGTCAAGGACTACCCCGTGTTGCAACAGTCTGTTTCTGACCCCCATGTGCTGATCAGTAGTAGCTGCGGACCCAGGCTGTTCCCCCGATCTGCTTCTCTTTCACTTTTGTTGCCGTGGTGTCGTCCTGAGTGCGGGCCTCTTCCTCCAATTAGTTGTGTTCTCTTTTTCTTCTCGTCATTGCTCCCGTGTCTTTTCTGTTGCTGTGTATTCTGGAGCTGCTCCAAAGTCCAGAGGGGCTACCGGGAACGGTGTCTTCACTGTTTCAGGCCATGATGAGGTGCCTGGCAGATGGCTGGAAATTCCTCAGGCATATCCTGAAAACCAGCTGGACCCACTCAACACTTGGGCTGAACCCTTCCGATGGGTCTCCTACCCTTGCTGACCATCTTAACCGAGTGATCTGGCCGTGACAAAAAGGGAGGGGATTCATTTCTCCTCTGTGCTTGGATTGGATGCTGCCTCCTCCAAGGTCCAATGGCTGAGCTCGTTGTGGAGGGGACAGTGGTTGCTCCGGAGACCGTGAACTCCTGGGACAATCTTTGGTTCCATAGGGAGTCCTTGACTTACAGCCGTAACTGAGCCAGAATTGCAGTCACTACTTGTGCTGTTTATTAAGGGGGTCATCACATGATGACCCCCTTAATCTTTTTTAACAAAAGTTGCTAAGTGAACATGGGGGTTGTAAAATGAATGCCACCGTCATTAAGCAAACCCATTATTTACAGTGGTCATTTTCACCGGGAAGCAGAAGTAAATGCTAGTTTCTGGCAAAAATATAAATTGTGGTGATTTTTATGGGTCTCTGCAACTGGCCATAAAAGTGGGCTGGTTGCTGAGTTTTTGGAGTCTGTCTTAACTTCAGGTAGCTGCTAAAGGACTAGACATAAGTCAAGGACTACGTCTACCTAGATTTTGTTTCTGTCAACTCATAAAACATTTCTGTGTCTAATCCTCTGGAGTTTTTGAAGCTTGGCTCGAAGCTCATGATTGGATTACGGCCACTGCTGGAATCCTGACAGCTTCCTTATTTTGGCAGTTATTCAGTAAGCATATTCTTCCTTTACCGGTTTTTTACAGATCTTTACTATCACTTTGACTTTTGCTTCAGGACTACTAATTAGAAGAGGCTTAGTATATACCAGGCATACCAGATAATAGACCATATCTTGAAAACTTGGCATTTGTTTACATCTAAGTTAACTTCAATCTCCCAACAAGCAAGATAAAAGAGGGAAGATAAAATTTCTAGGGCAAGAATGTATTGACATATTTGGCTTTCAGAATTGTCAACAATTGATAAAAAAAAAAAGCAGTTTGTGAAGGAAAGCCATGAGATTTGTATGAGAACTGCCCGATAGGTCTTTTTCTTCCTGAAGAGAAGCATGAAGTTTATTGCATCCCCCACTCAGAAATCAGGAGCTACGTAGCCTGAGCCGATGTTGGATCGGCCTCTCTTCTCTTAACTCCTGCTCAGGGCAGTCCTAATTTTCCTACAATGGGGAAACCTGTCAGTGTGTCATTCTTCCCCTCCGTACTCTCTCTGCAAATACAGCCTCCCAGAGCCTGGCCTTGACAGGTGGGCAAAAGGCACTCAAGACATTGATCACACAAACTTAAATTTACTTTTGAACATCATTCACCTCAAAAGTCTTATTACTAGCTGATTTTATCTTGCTTTTTTTTTTAAAAAAAACCATCCCTAAATCGAAGACTCCCATCTAAGATTTGGTAGCAGAGCCCTTATCTAAGAGCATGTTTTTTGGCTGAGAGGTAGCCAATTTAGGTCCTGAATATCAGTGCTCTAGGACCACGATGGCGAAGGTATGCCAAACATGCCGGAAGTGACACACAGAGCCATCTCTCCGGGCACACCAGCCGTTGTCCGTTACTCTTCTGGGTTCCGGCATGTGCATGTGCACCAGCTAGCTGGTCATCGTGCGTGTGGGAGCGCCAGGAACCAGAAGAGAAGCTCCCTGGAGCGCATGCATGTGCCAGCCGGCTGGTCTTCACGCATGCAAGAATGCCGGAAACCGGAAGAGCAGCTCCCTGGAGCACATATGAGCGTCACCCAGCTGATCTTCGCACATGCATGTGTGTTAGAAAATGGAAGACCAGGTGGCCAGAGTGCATGCGTGTGCTGGGAAGCTAAGCCTGGTTCCTGGCACTCCCGCGCACGTGTCAGGCAGCTGCTCTTCTGGTTTCTAGGGTCTGCGTACATGTGCGTGCACTTCCGTTTCAACACTCGGTGCCAAAAAGTTTAGCCACCACTGTTCTAGGATAATCTTTATCCAACTTGGGCACCTTTAAACCTGTTGGGCTGTAAATCCCACAGTCTTCAGATAACAGAAGCCTGATGGTCTAGGTCAGGAGCTATTTGTGGTATAATCTGAGTTTTGTAGCTTTTTTGGAGGCATTGGGTGGAGAAAAATTATTCTGGATAGTTTAGGGCTTTCTTAGGGCAAGTTTTTCTTGGGGCTATACAGATCCAGCTGCTATTTGGATCAACAATATATCTGAAAATTATACCTTAAAAAGAGCAATATCTCTTCCCAGGAGTGGTGCATTAATTGTCACCGGAGCTCAGCAGATTTCAGAAAAGTATCTGTAGCTAAAGCAGTTTTCATCCCTTTGTTCACTGAATGCACCTACCACCACCTCCTCCCTTCACATATACACATAGACAAAATTGACCAGCTAGATTGCATGCCATACACTAAATAAATAAGTAAATCTAGAGTACAGTTTTGTTACCTGAATTTAGGTGCATTACGGAAAAGTGCCAGCTTAGTAAACTGTAGCAAACTGTCCATGGTTAACCATGGTTAAAGCTTATAAATTATTTTTTTAAAAAGTGGACAGGATTGTTTCTGACCTACTAGTGATTTCCCCTTATGTCACTTTGAATGAGAAGCTGAGGCTGGTGGGAAATTTTTCTGTACTTTTATGCTGATAAAAATGATCTGGTGGGAAAAGAAGTGAGTCCTATGCTAAAATCAAGACCCATTGCTTTTTTTCAAGTGTTGAAATTACGTTTTTAGGTCCTAATTCACTATTCATCCGTGGACTGTTGGTTAAGTGCAAATGGTTATTTTTTTACAGCCAAACTTACAAACTAATTGTTCCAAAATACATTTTCAAAAGGCAACTGGAACTTGTTTTTTCTTGAAGACGTTTTGCTTCTTCAGTTCTGAGTGAATGGTGGAGCATGGAAGGATTTATAGTACTTGCTGTCATCTGGTCATTAGCACTCTTTCTGGGAGCCATTGAGGCCACTTGCAGGTTTCTCTGTGCCCTTAGGGTCACCTCAACAGTGCAAATGGGTGTGGAACCTTCTTGGAATGGCTGAAAGGACTGTGTTGTAAACAGGAGAGAGGTAAGTCATGTTCTCTGCGCACCCTCTCTCTGTTGAGAGAGGGCTGTTCAACCTTAATGTAGATGGCCTCTTTGATCCCACTTCCAAACCAGCGGTCCTCTCTGTCCACAATGTGAACTTTGCTGTCTTCAAAGGAGTGGCCTCTGTCCTTCAAATGCACGTGGATCGCCGAACCTGGTCCTGATGGGTTTGTTCTCCGATGTTGTGCCATGTGTTTGTGAAGCGGTTGTTTATCTCCTGTTTACAACACAGTCCTTTCAGCCGTTCCAAGAAGGTTCCACGCCCATTTGCACTATTTAGGTGACAAGGCACAGAGAAACCTCCAAGTGGCCTCAACGACTCCAGAAAGAGGGCTGATGAGTAGATGATCGCAAGGAATATAAATGCTTCCATTCCCCACCATTCAGTCGGAACTGAAGAAGCTTCTTGGACGAGGAGCAAAACGTCTTCAAGGAAAAACAATGTTCAGTTGCCTTTTGAAAAAGCAGCTTTGGGACAACTATGACCTGGATGACTGAGAATCTCCATAGACACTCACAAACAAGTTCGCACTACTGGAGGACAAATTTAAAAAACCCTATAATCAATAGATTGGTTTATATTTATGCCTAAACTGAGCTACTCTATGGAAAGCGAGGAAATAGATAACTTTTTAATTTTTTCCCCCCTGAATTTTCAATATTTTCAGAAATCAACCACTGTATATTAAATATTGAGGGGTGCCTTGGTTAAAATTGTATTCTGCGTGGCAACGCAGTTCCAGCTTGTTTCGTTATCTGTCTTTCAAATTGTATTGAATCAACTTTCCAAATTCCTTGGACACATTGGGTAACGTTATGGGAATTGGAGTCCAGCACATATGAAAAATACCAAGTTGGGGAAAGAAGTTCTGAATTTAAGTAAATATTACATGAAACAGATAACAGATAATCAGAGTTGGAAGGGACCTTGTAGATCATCTAGTCCACCACCCCACGCCCAAGCGGGAGACCCTACACCATTTCTGACAAATGGCAGTCCAATCTCTTCTTGAAAGTCTCAAGTGATGGTGCTCCCACAACTTCCGAGAGCAACTTCTGTTCCATTGGTTGATTGTTCTCACTGTCAGAAAGTTTCTCCTTATTTCCAGGTTGAATCTCTCCTTGTTCACTTTCCATCCATTATTCCTTGTCTGGCCTACAGGCACTTTAGAAAATAGCTTGACCCCTTCCTCCCTGTGGCAGCCCCTCAAATATTGGAAGACTGCTATCATGCCTCCCCTGGTCCTTCTCTTTACTAGAGTAGCCAGGCCCAGTTCCTGTAACCGTTCGTTGTATGTTTTAGCCAGTCCCCTAATCATCCTGGTTGCTCTTCTCTGTATTTTTTCTAGAGTCTCAACATCTTTTTTATAATGTGGTGACCAAAACTGGATTCAGTACTCTAGGTGTGGTCTTACTAAGGCTTTATAGAGTGGTATTAGTACTTCCCTTGATCTTGACTGTATCCCTCTGTTAATACAATTTAGGATTGCATTAGCTTTTTTGGCTGCTGTTGCACACTGCTGGCTCATATTTAGCTGGTTGTCCACTAAGATTCCAAGATCCCTCTCACAGTTACTGCTATTGAGCCTGGTTTCACCCAGTCTAAATGTGTACTTTTGGTTTTTCTTGCCAAAGTGTAGGACTTTACTTTTCCCTACATTGAATTTCATTTTATTAGATATGGCCCAGTGTTCTAGTCTGTCAAGATCCATCTGGATCTTGAGCCTATCTTCTTGGGTATTAGCTATTCCTGCCAGCTTAGTATCATCTGCAAATTTGGTAAGTTCCCCTTCTATTCCCTCATCTAAGTCGTTAATGAAGATATTGAAGAGTACTGGGCCTAAGACGGAACCTTGTGGCACCCCACTGCTTACTTCCCTCCATGTAGACTTAGACCCATTAAGGACTACTCACTGAGTAAGGTTTGCCAGCCAGTTGCAAATCCATCTAGTGGTGGTGCTATCTATTCCACATTTTTCTAGCTTACTAAGAAGTAGGTTGTGGTCTACTTTGTCAAATGCTTTGCTGAAATCTAAATATATTATGTCCACAGTATTTTGCTGGTCTACTAATTTAGTCACTGTGTTGAAGAATGAAATAAGATTGGTTTGGCATGATCTGTTTTTAACAAACCTGTACTGACTGCTAGTTATTACTTTACTTGTTTCTAGATGTTGGCAGATCTGTTTTTTATTATCTTTTCCAATATCTTCCCGGGTATTGATGTTAGGCTGACTGGTCTGTAGTTTCCTAGGTCTGGTTTTTCCCCCTTTTTTGAAGATGGGAACCACATCAGCTCTTTTCCAGTCCTCTGGTAGTTCCCCGGTGCTCCAGGATTTTTGAAAGATATGGTGCAGTGGTTCTGAGATGACCTCTGCCAGCTCCTTTAAAACTCTGGGATGTAATCCATCAGGCCCCGGTGATTTGTTTTCATCAAGATCAGACAGGTGTTCTCTTACTATTTTTTGGCTTATTTTAACTTTTATTTCTGGTCTATCTTTTACAGTTATGTTTTTGGTGGGTTGAGCTATAGTTTCTTTTTGCGTGAAGACGGATGCAAAGAATGAGTTAAACAGTTCTGCTTTCTCTCTGTTGCCTGTTACTTCCTTGCCATCTTCTCTCTCTAGTGGATCGGAAATGTGCCTGTAGAACAGACGGAAACAAAGGGTAGGGGGTCTTTTGAAATCATCCAAACAGAAGCAAAATTAATAGGAAACTGTTATTTGTTTGGTATATATGCAACTTTTAAGTGCCTTTTCATTCAGTGTTAACGTTCGTAAATTCAGCTAATTTTATTAATTAACGGCAAAATGTATCAGCTTGGAAATATGAACCTGCCAATCGAGCTAATTCACTTGCTCCTCTCTCAGCGCAGCTATTTCTATATGAGAATTTTTCTTGCTGTTCCATCTGGATGGTTGGAAAGGGTCATATGAGCAGAAGTGATTTGGTTGGTTTGTTAATTTCATAATTTTCTTGGCTAATCAACAGCATGTCATCTTAAATAATATTCCCTGCAGTAAGAAATAGTTTTGCTTTAAGGTGGGAGACATACGCAGGTGATACGGACACAATGAAAGAGAAGTGTATGTAGTTTTCTCCCCTTTGTGATTAAACCATTCTCAAACATAGGTTCCTAGTGATCCTAAAATATTCATAATTAATTTTGTAGGTATGGCTATACAACGAGGATCATGAATTAATCTTAAATAACCTCTTGTGTTTGGATGTATCTGAAACACGCACCTCCGATCCACCACGCCTTATGAAATGTCATGGGTCAGGAGGCTCTCAGCAGTGGCTACTTGGAGTAAGTGAATTTGGCCAGGACGAATTTCGTTCTAGTGTAACTCTGGCTAAAGATTGTTAAAAGTTTATATAAGCTTGAGAATTGGTTCATTGTGCATGGATGAGTTCCTGTTTACATAGATTATTGTGAAAACTAGATATTCACGAGAAAGCTTAACCTTACTGGCCGTGGATCTTTCACAAGGCAAGGCCTCCAATTAGGAATATGCCACATGGCCAAAAATGGTTTTGACCAGTTAGATAGTTTTGAAAGCTTAAATCCTTGCCTTTCAGTATGATTTATTTATTTATTTGATTTTTATCCCACCTTTATTACTTTAGCAACAGCAATAGCACTTAGATTTATATACCACTTTACAGTGCTTTACAACTCTCTCTAAACGGTTTACAGAGTCAGCATCAGTGGTGGAATTCAAAAATTTTTACTACCGTTTCTGTGGGCATGGCTTGGTGGGCGTGGCTTGGAGGGCGTGGCAGGGGAAGGTTACTGCAAAATCCCCATTCCTTCCCCATCCCACTAACCTGCTTTTCAGCTCTGTTCTCCTGTGCAGGGCAACCAAAGAAGACCCAGCCAATCAGCTGAGACTCAGTGGGAGGTAGAGAAGAGATGGGGGTGGGGCCAGTCAGAGGTGGTATTTGCTGGTCTTTCAAACTATTCAAAATTTCCACTATTGGTTCTCCCGAACTGGTTACAACCTGCTGAATACGACCTCTGGTCAGCATATTGCCTCCAACAATTTGGGTCCTCATTTTACCAACCTTGGAAGGATGAAAGGCTGAGTTAACCTTGAGCTGGTGGGATTTGAACTGCCAAATTGCAGGCATCCGACATCAGCAGAAATAGCCTGCAGTACTGCACTCTATCCACTGCGCCACCAAGGCTCATCATTCTCCTTCTATTTTCCCCACCCAAGAACCCTGTGAGGTGATTTAGGCTGAGAAAGGGACTGGTCCCAAAATTGCCCAGCTGGCTTTCATACCTAAGGTGGGACTAGAACTCACCGTCTCCTGCCTTCTAACCTGGTGCCTGCTAAAACCTGTTAGGAATAGGATAGTGCCAAAATACCTAGCCTTAATTCATTAGTAGAGTGGTCATGATCTAAATCTGGAATTGGGAAGTGGCAATTATCACAAAGTATTTTAATTTTATTGGTGACTAATACATTTATAGAAACAAAAAACTATTTGTGGAAGAATGAAAGTACTGTTAATCAAAACTGGCTCTTTCACGGCTAGATAGGTAGGTTTACATGAGTGGTGTATCCTGGCGGGCTCAAGTTTGATTCAGCCTTCAGCCTTCCGAGGTCGGTAAAATGAAGACCTAGATTGTTGGGGGCAATATTCAAATAATGCGTACATTATAAACTACCCAGAGAGTGCTGTGTTATCTAAGTGTTATTGCTGTTACTATTGCTATTAAAGGCAGAGCTGGCACGGGAGCATCTAAGTAACCCCATCAGCCTGCCAAAAGGAACAATGTGGCTGCAAAAATAGGTTTGGAACCGTTTTATCTCACCTGCTATGTTTCTTTCTGCAGAAAAACAACCGGCTGTATCAGGTATCTGTTGGACAGTGCATGAAGGTGGTTGACCCACTTAATCTCAAAGGCTACATCACTATGGCCATATGCGATGGCTCCTCCCTTCAGCAGTGGCGCTTGGAGAATTGAATACCTCCTCAAGGAATGCCCACTTGTGCAAGGACTCTTGGCTTAGTGCATTATTTTCTAAGGCTGGCAATCCTTGCTGCTATTTCTATCCCATAACACTTAAAGGAAACTATTTTAATGAAGGTTAGAAATCACAATGGATGGCAATCTTCAAGTGGAGTAGAAGTGGCTGCATTTCTTGCCCCTCCTTTCTGCAGGAGTAAAAAGTGTGATGACATTCCTTGGGAGCCCAACAGTATAAGGAAATATTCTAAGTCATAATTAGGACAATGTAATTTAATTAGCGGATGCATCTAATGAAGCCAGCCTAAGTGGTCTGTCAGAAACCTACCGTGTTTTGCCAGTATTTCTTGCAGAAATATGGTACTTTTTTCATTTCAGTTCATGGCTGGAATTCTGGAGAAAAGTATGTTTTAGCTCTTTTTTGTAAATAATTGTATTAATTTTAGCCTAATCAAATGTCCATTTGTCACATCCTATATTTGAACAGGGATGCCATTTTCATGATTCCGAAGACCATGTAGCACTTGCCTGCTTCAATGCAGCCCCCAATGCTACACCTCCCCCCCCCCTGCCAACCAAGGCTCCCATGTTTGCCAGAAAGCCCAAAGGCAACTGTGGGAGTTGCAGCACTGAAACAGAATTCCTCAACTAGGGAATTCTGGGAGTTGAAATGCAGACATCTTAAACCTTGAGAAATTCTGCATGAGGGGATGATTGATAAGCGAGGGGCCATGGCAGGTGGCATAACCTTTCTATTCTTGCAAGGCAGTTTGGAATGCCACAGTACAAAACACCATTTTAAAAAAAAGTTCACAGATAGGCCTTGATATGTGACTATAGTAGAGACTGTCTATTATGGTTTTATGTTGTAACAATTGTAAAATGATTTTACAATTTTTTGCAGCAATTGTTAAGCAAACCAATGGTTCTCTATGGATACATTTTTCCTCAAAATTTGATGTAAATGTCAGTTTTTGGCAAAACAATCGTAAAACATGGTCAATGATTGTGGGATGCTGCAGATGGCTATAAATGGAGCCATGTTGAAAAGTGCCCAGATTTTGGTGAGGTGACTGAAAGAATAAACCTCCATTGTCAGAATTTTGAATCCAGGTCATAAATCCCTTTTGGATCAGTTATAACTTCAGATGGGTGCTAAGTGATGATTGTAAATTGTGGAACTTACCTGTACATTGCTTGATTTTTACCATACTCAGTTTCACCCCATTTGTTTGTGAAGAAGTTAAAAAAAAACCAGATCCTTTTATATTTTACAAGTTATTGATACACATAAATATTTGTGAGAAGCTTGAATTTGATACTGGACCGAAAACTTTCATTAATAAACCTGGCCCTTAATTTATGCAGTGCAAGGTTTAAGGCCCACATTAAGGATTATGAATGGGATTAGATTCTACTTAAGGTTGTGATATTCCTCCTTAAAATCAGGCAGCACATTAAAGTATGTCTAGGAAAATATCATTTATCTTTGCAATATCATGGAGAGACAACAAATATCCATTTTTATGTATTTTGTATTGCATTTTTTATTATTAACACTAGGTGTTATTGACATATTAGCCACTGTCCCTTTGGTCTCTAGTGTACATTAAATGCTTGAGTACCTTATGCCATTTATGATTTTAACTTTTATAACTATCTTTTTGTTTTAATTTAATGAAACCAGCCAGTCTGTTGGTGGTAGAAAATTCTTCCTAATCCTCTGTTACCCAATTAACTGTGCAGAATCTATTGTTCATATGATATAATCAAAAACTTTGGGAAAGAGAGGGCTACAATAATCTTAAATAGGCTTTTTTTAATTCCAAAGAAAAGAGCAGGTTCTATAATTATTAAGGATGTCCAAAATGGAAAAAAAAT